AATTAAAACAAAAACTCGCATCTTGCAGGATACATTAGGAAGTAAAATACTCACTCCCTATTGTATATCGCGGTGGGATCAAAGAGGGGGGATGCCACGGGCCAAGATGTTCCAAGTGGCCAGTCGGCCCAGCCCGTGGTCCTGCTCTGCAGTTACTCGGTGGTGGTGGCGGCGGCGGCGGCTCCTACTCAAAAGCCTGGCGGAAGAGCTCCGTCTTGCAGGCCCTGCAGAACTGTAAAAGGTCCCGCAGGGCCCTGATGTCCTCCGGGAGCTCATTCCACCAGGTAGGAGCCGCCACCGAGAAGGACCTGGCCCTTGTGGTGACTATTGTGGGGAGGGGAAGAGAAAGGAGATTGTCAGCCGCTCTGAGACTCCTTCGGAGAGTGAAGGGGCGGGGTATAAATCCAGTCTCCTTAACGTGGCCAGCAGTTGACCTCTCCTCAGTAGTGGAGTCTCTATCCAGCTCCCCACCCCAATGTGATCTTCTTCCAAATCAAGATGGAAAGTTTTAAGAGCAACTTGGGCTGTACTCCTGCTGGGCTGTACTGACTAAAGCGAGCAAAACCAGTGATTGTTCTTTTCTCTCTTTTTAAAACTTTTTCCTCCTCGAAAGGCCCCCCGAGGGAGACAGCTATCAGAACAGCAGTGGCGAAGGCTACCAGAACAACGCGGTAGATCAAAGCTTTTGGGAGACCTTTGGGAACTCGGACCCGCCCAAGACCCACAAGTCCCCAAGCAGCGACAGCTGGACGTACGTGGACAATTCTACCGAGAAGAAGAGTTCCGATAGCTGGGATGTCTGGGGCTCTGGGACAGTCTCCAATAACAAGAACAGTAACAGTGACAGCTGGGAAAACTGGGAGACCAGTTGGGAGGACGCAGGTGGGGAGGGCAAAGCCAAAAAGACCCCTAAGAAGGCAACAAAAGAGTCTTCTTCCGCAGCTGACGATGGGTGGGACAACAAACACTGGTAGAACTTTGTCCCCCGTCTGGTGCGGCTTTGGAAAGAAGTCATACCTCTGACGGAAAGGTTCCCCACCTAGCAGGATTTAACCTCCTTGTCGTTTTGGGCCTGTTAAACCTCATGCTTTAACTGTTCCATTCTCTTTCCACTCCTGTTTACAACAACGAAAAGACAACTGTTCGTTCGCAGACCCTTGTAATTATCATACGAAGATTCGTCTCTCCCATGGGAATGACCTTCCGCCATTAGATGTACTCTCACCATGCTGCCGTTGGACGCAGGACATGCCGGCTCGCCTAAAGCAAGTGTTTGAAGGAAGTGGGTTTCACGCAAGCATGCGTTCATAGCACAATCCTGCATGTGTACTCTTGCAAGATCGCCCAGCTTCTCTCTAGAACTTCTGGAGGGAGATGATGTTAACGGTATCGTCAATGGACTGCAAGTTAGGAAACTGAAAACAAATCTGTTGGGGTAACTTTGAATCAAGCCAGGAAGGTAATCAAGACACTGTTGAAACAGTTCTCGAATTTATCCGGCTTTGAGAAAGTAAAAAATAATAATCATCCGTACCTTATCCTCTCAGAAGAAACCAAGTCGAACTTTTCCTTCAGGATGTTTGGCGAGACAACAGATTAGAGAGTCGCTTTATTCCTACCTTAAGCAGATTTTTAGGAGGCGTCGAATTGAATGATTCCCTCCCCTTCATCTCATTTTCTTACATAATAGGTTCAGTTTGCTGCTGAGGATTTTAGCAGGACTGCCTATTATCTCGAAAGATGATCCTTGTGGGAAGATTAATCAGCAGAGACAAGATATGTGAAGGAGGTCAAACTGGAACTTTCTGAAGACAGAAGCAAATCGCTCTTTGAGAGACATCATTCCAGTTTTCTGTTTCTTTGGGTCCTTAGAATGCATTCATTATCGAAATCAGTTTACAAGATGCTTTACCCGATTCCTCTGACTCTCTCCCCCTTCCCCCCCCCTTAAAAAGTTATCAAGTGATTAGGGGGCAGCTCTTATCATGAAGAGTTGTGTCGTGGGATTCAGATCTTTTCTTTTGATAGGCGTTTTCTGTAAAAGATGCCCCTGATAGCTGCGATCAGGTTTTTGTTTCCTCATTTCTGTGCCGCAACATTCTGAGTTTACAGTTTGGCTGTTTGTGTCGAGTGCTTGCCGGAAATCTTTGAATCATGGTGGGGATATCGTCACCGGTGTAGAAATCTTGCCTGCCAGCCTGGGTTTCAGATGCATGTCCTTTCAAAAAGGTGTCAACATTGGCTGGCAACAGTATGTGTGGTGAGTTGATGCAAGGACTTGAACTAGCAGAGTTCGGCTAAGGTTGCTGCTGTAAATAATTCAGCAGCACCCCCTTTATTTTGAGCTACCCACAAAGTGTCAATTGTTGCCAGAACTGTACAGTTCAGTAGGTCCGTATTTATCTTGTGGCGCAGTATGTTGGTTTGTTCTGTTGTATTTAGTCTTTCAGATTACCGGTTTAAAGCTTCCTTCTAATCTCTCTTCCCGCTTTCCCTTCGGCCTCCCTCCTTCTCTATTCTGCGCGGTCTATCCTCTTGCGGTGAGTCGGTCCACGCCTGTTCTTTGAGAACCTTCGAGGTGCTTTTCTTGTGCCAGTCTCCTATGTCTTACTCAGAGATTTCCTGCTTCTCACAATGGTTGATGGTGCCAATTTTTTGCAGAACGCTGACTCCTCCGGTGTGGGTGCGTATTTGTGTGTGTGTGTGTGCACCTCCCCCCCTTTAATTTTCACTCTTTTCCATTATAAAAATGTGATGGGGGAAGCTGACTGTGTGTTGAACTTGTAGGGACTAATTTAAGCATATAGGCCACCTGTTTTTTTAATCCGTGCTCTCTAGTTCTCGCTTATCACCTCGTTCTCGAAACCGGTCTGTGTGCTTCGCAGATCTTCTGTGTCCTTATGTGTGTTCCCCAGCTATTGTTCCCCAGTAGCAGGGACGGCAGTGCACACTCGAGGAGAGTAGCTGCCTGGCCCGTGAAGAGGTCTCTCTGCGCTGAATATAAAGCTCCCTGCATTTCATATCGGACTGTTTCTTTGTTTTGTTCATTGTCTGAACAGTGGTGAACGGTGGCTCAAGTGGTTAAGACGCTGAACTGCAGGCTGTGGAAGGTCGGTAGTTCAGCAGTTCGAGACCCGAGTTGCCACGTGACGGAGTGAGCTCCCGTCTAGTTCCAGCTCCTGCCAACCTAGCAGTTCGAAAGCAAGAAATTGCAAGTAGATAAATAGGTACCACTTCGGTGGGAAGGGAACAGCGTTCCGTGCGCCGTGGTGTTTAGTCATGCCGGCCACATGACCACGGAAACGTCTTCGGACAGCGCTGGCTCTTCGGCTTTGAAACGGAGATGAGCACCGCAACCCTAGAGTCGGACTCGACTGGCTTTCGAGCAAGGGAACTTTTCCCTTTCCCTTTTACTGAACAGCCCCACTCACTGGCTGAAGAGAATAAGAACTCGGTATGCACAAAAATCCCTTTTCTTCCCCTATTTATTACAGTGTGCCCAGGCCTTCCTCGCTCTGTAAACAAAATATATATATATCTATTTTGGTCGAGTTATATCTTGTCATGCTGACAGTCTGCTTTTGAAAGACCCCCACCCACCGTCCCTCCCTCCCTCAGTCAATGCAGGCTCTTAAATAGAATGTGCAGGGCTCTTTTTGTAGCAGGGAACTCCTTTGCATCTTAGGCGACACACCCCTAATTGTAGCCAGTCCTCCAAGAGCTTACAGTAGCCCCTGTAAGAAGAGCTCTGTAAGCTCTTGGAGGATTGGCTGCATTAGGGGGGGTGTCGCCTAATATGCAAAGGAGTTCCCTGCTACAAAAAGAGCCCTGTAAACCACTACAGATGTTAGGTGATTGGGCACTTGGTGCCAGATGAGCCCTGTCACCTAGCTTAACCTTTCAATCTTTCACTCGTAATCTCGGATTGAGGGGGCAAAACAACGTGCAGTTGTTTTACAAGGTAGGTGCATCTGCTTTTGGTTCATCCTTGATCACCGGGGTTAGTCTTGCCACTACCTCGATCGAGGGTCACTGGTTTGACACCCTTGTTTTAGCAGGAAGAGCG